CTTAAATTTTATTGAAAATTTCATTTGTTTTGATGTCCGATTTGTAGTTCTAGGTGTTATATTAGTGTTTTGATCGTACGAGAGAGTTCTTATGATATTTTAGACTTGTGTGCATGATAGATTTAGAGCCCCAAGGGCTCAGGTGTGTTTCGGATAGGGTACGGAGTGATTTTAAACTTAGAGGAATAGCTGGTACCTGTGTGTTTTGGTGTTGTCTGCAGATCTTGCATTATCAAGGTCTGGCTCACAAAATGCGAGCCTCGCATTTGAGATCATGGGCTGGGGACTAGGTTCTCGCATTTGTGATACTCTCAAGTTAGCATTTGCGAACAAATTGTTCAAATTTGCAATGGTAGTAGAGGTGTGAATTCTTCGTATTTGCGAAGGCTTTCTCGCATTTGTGGGATTTGCAATTGGGAACCCCAGGTCGCAATTGCAACATCTGCGCCTGATCAAAAGCTGAGAAAACGGGATTTTAGCTCATTCTTTCAAAGTGTCAACCCAAAACACCTTAGAGGCAATATTTCCAAGAGCTTTTCTTACTCAATTCATTGGTAAGTGACTCTAATCTACTTTCTTCCAATTACCCATTATATTCCATAAGATTTCAACCTTAAATGTAAGATTTTTATGGTAGAAATTAGGGATTTGGGTAGAACTAGGTGTTAGATTGTATGGATCCACCAAATCGTAGAGTACCTAGTCCTCTACAAGATTCTGCTGAGAGCACTTAGTAAAGCAGTAAGTAAATGAGGCAGAGGATTTTTACGTGGAAAAATCCCACACAAGGGGATCAAAAAACCACGACCTACCTTGTAAGCTTTTAGCTTCACTAACTTGTAATCTTAACTATTACAAGCCACTTTACAATACTTCCTATTGCAAAGAATTTACTCAACTAACTTATGGTACTTTTACCACAAGCCACTTTGTGACTATCCTAGTTTCAAAGGCTTTTTCTAACTTGTGATGCTATCATCACAAGCCACTTTGTAATTCTACGATTACAATAACTTTTCCTTATGACTAAATCTAGTCAAAACATAAACTCAATGAGTTTGCGGATTTACAAGAGGATTCCTATTCCTAATCAGTATGCTTCTAGATAAGAGATTTAGGAGATATGGTAAGTACAATAACAATGTTACAACTAAACTAGGACAACAAGCATCAATCTTTTAAGAACTGGTCCGTAGTGGCGTTCAACCTTGTTCTTCAAGCTTGAGAGGATGATTTTTCTGTTTTTGCAAGAGGCTTGAATGAGAAACAGAAACCATCCAGTGATGTTTTTGTATAAAGCACATTTGGTACATCTTGATACATCACTTGAAATGATGTGAGTACTTTGTTTGGTTAGAGAGTGAGTGGACTGACAGTGTGGTGCAGTGCGGCAGAAACAGTGATGTCGGTCACTTCATTTCCAGTTGTGTCCAAACGACTTTGTACTGCTATGAGGAAACCACAAAAGCATCAAGTCCTTGTTTGGTTCCTAGTTCCTGAAGCTATAGCAATTCATCTTTAGCTTAAATCTGTTAACGCTTGAAGTAATCCAAGTAGGTCAGGTTCCCTATCTGGTTCTTAGCCATAAGTTTGTTAGATCATCAAAACATCAGACAAGAGCATTTAAGATCTATCAATTTCCCTCTTTTTGATGAGGACAAACTTCAACAATTATAAATCGGAATTAGGGCATTAGAAACCAAACAACCAGTTTCAAAGAGTTCCCCCCTGAGACTATGCCTTGTCTTAAAGAATAATAGAGCATACATAAGAACCAGTTCCCCAATGTGTTTCCCCTTGAGTCCTATATTAGTCTCTAAGAACCAGTTCCCCAATGTGTAATTTCCCCCTTTTGGAATCATTAAAAAGAACAACAGCACAAAAAAGTCCACCTAAGCTAACTCATGCCATATATGTGCACACAATCATGAGAAAGAATAGAACACAGAGAGACAGTACGAGACATAAGAAAAAGGATTCATATTAATAATTTTTAATATGCCTCGTCCTTTGAAAAAAGGAAGAGGCTGCATTGGACTTATTCACAGGAGCAGTAGTAGTACATCCCAACCATAAAAAGGCAAAAAAAACATCTACCAACCATCAACAAAGAGACGAAGAAGAAGAAACATATCCAGAAAACTGGTCACTGAAAGGGTTCTTAGGGGGCACTAGGAGGAAAAGGCTTGGAAGCTGCAGCAAGTGTCTGGAGAACAAGGTTTATTCGGGCGTTTCTCAACTTTTTCTCGTTGAGCAGTTCAGCTTCAGGTTCTCGACTTTCTCCCTGAGATTAGCATTTTCTTGGGTCAAACAGATCACCTCATTATTTGACATGGGAACCGCTCGGGCTTGCTAACATTCCAGGATAGCATTACTGGACTTCAATCAACGTACTTCCTCAACTGCATTGTTTTGGGCATTGATGAGCTAAGACACAATTGAAGTACTGCCTACACCCCCATACTTCTCAATACACTCGCACTCTTCCAAGGTTGTCTGAGAGAATGTCTGCTTACAAGTCCCCACTTTACCTGTTCCCAGTGGAACCTCAAAGAATTTGAACACTTGAGTGAGCAAGAATCCATAGGGAAGCCCGTGATTACCATCCTTGAAATTGTCCACCATCTGCATGTGTTCAATCATTATGGCAGGCAGACTCACAAGGTTGAAACCGTCCAGTTACTCCATTAGGTATAGATCAAATTTTGAAGTTACAGACCTCCTTTCTGCTTGAGGCAACAGGACTTTGTTAACAAGCTCAAACAACAGCTGGTAGACAGGAAGTAGTGCTTTCTTATGGATCTAGTCCCCTTTCTGATTAGAATTATCTTTCACCACTGCATTTCTAAAGTTCTACTGACAGACATCTCGTACACTTGACACCCCAATTGTAGGAACTTGCAAAATTTCTCCAATCAATTTCACGTCAAAGACAATGTCCACCCTATTGACCAGCACAAAAACATGGTCAGTATCGACTGGAAAAAAACTGGAAAAGAAACTTTATACATCCTCCTCATACACTTTAGGGGCATCAATGTAGAATAGATACATCCATTGTTTAAACTCCACCATTTCCAGAATTTGGCGCATTCCGGCCATCTCCGAGATTGTTGGGTCAAACGTACGACCTAGCAGAACTTTTTGATGCCTTAGATGCTCAGAGCCAAGGCAGACCTCACTTCTTGCTTTCTTTCCAGAACTAGGTTCTTCAACTATTTCAGACTTACGTTTCCTATGCTTTTCTCCACTGATGTTGCCTTTCCCTTGGACTTGACAGGAATATCCTCATCACCCACGGCCTCCTTCAACTTGGACTTAGAAGTAGACCCTTTCTCCATAGAAACAGACTCAGCCTTTTTCGAGGACCGCCTTACAAGGGAACCTGGTTCCTCAAGAGTTCCTTCTTCCACCTCCATTACAGGAATAGCTTCATCACTTACAAGTACACCATCCTTCACCAACTTTCTTCTTTTCTTCTTACTACTTTTCTTACTCTTTTGGAGTGAAGAGTCGTAGGCCACTTTGACTTGAATCCTGGTAGTAGGACGCTTAATTTCAGACTCAAGGGTGGAGACAACCCTTCTCTTACTTATGAATGCATCAAGGGCCATGTTGTCCAGGTTTTCTTCATTACTAGATCGCATTTCTGGTGCTAGAATTCCTAGGGGCACAACATCGAATGAAGGAACAGCACTATCCTAGGTATGAGAGTCCTGACCTGGGTCCTCCAAAGAGGGATCAAGTTCCTCACGTGATGCCCCAGTAGTGTATACTACTGCATTCCCTTCAACAACCATAATAGCCCCTTCTACCCACACGCTTTGTGACTTATGTTTCTGGGAAATAACTTCATGCAATACCCCATCAGCGGATACCACAAACACAATCTTTTCTTCTTTAATCTGTGCTTCCACAACCATGTAGTCGATGACAACGATGGTAGATCCATTTGTGGACTCAGTATTGTGACCTTGTTCTCCACTTAGGGTTTGACTGGTGTGGGCAACAGACGACGGAGAGAACAGAATGGTATTTTCAAGGGTTTCTGAGTTGGGAAAAGGTTGGGAAACTAGGGAAGGTGTAATTTTAGCAGTAGAAGTGATAGAGGGTGACAAGACTCAGTGAAGGAGAGAGGTTCCATAGATGGATCAAAGGTGGTTACAATTGAGGCAGAGAGATCGGAAGTTTTCTCATCCATTGGAAAAGTTTGTGTGATGATCCTTTCCTTTTGGGTTAATCTAGAATAGGGCCTATGGTTAAGAAGGACAGAAGAGAGGGGTTTTTAAACGGAGAGGATAATTATGAAGGGATAAGAATAGGCACCGGTTCTGAAATAACGGTTGGGCGTGGAGAATTGTGTTGTTTCAGAGGGAGATGGAACGTTTTGAATTGAAGGGACGTGACAACCAGATTTGAAAAGTTGATAATATGGTAGTTGTATTTTGTACCTTTTAATATGTGTATTAAAGGATGCACAGAACTACTAACCTTTAGTACAAGAACCTAGTTCTTGAAAAAACATTTTTTTCAAGCCCTTTTGGAAAAGAATTAATCCTCCTTTATCGGTCATGTACTGCATCTACTGCTTCTCTGCTTATCATGCGTGTGTACCTACAATGGTATTGAAGTGAGTTAGACAGGGCCAAAAAACACTTTGAATTAATTATTTCTTAAGAATACGAGCTAGCTAAAGAGGAATCAGGTTCTTAATTTGGCTTCAACAATCTCAGCTTTACTCTATTTCTTTCAAAATGTTCCATACTCAATGCCTTGGTGAAAATGTCTGCAATTTTATCTTCTCTGCTACAGAACTTCATACATATCAACCCTTTCTCCACATTATCTCTCAGAAAATGATGCCTCACATCAATATGTTTAGTCCTTTTATGTTGAACTGGATTCTTTGTCATATTGAGTGCACTAGTGTTGTTACATAGGAGAGCCACACTCTCAGTGAGAACTCCAAAATCCTCCAGCTGTTGCTTGATCCACAGAAGCTAAGCACAGCAGGATGCTGCAGCTACATATTCAGCTTCAGCTGTTGAAAGAGCCACTAAATTTTGTTTCCTTGTCCCCCAAGAGATAATACATGATCCTAAGAAGTGAGCCATCCTAGAAGTGCTTTTTCTATCCATAAGATGACTTGCATAGTCTGTGTCAGCATACCCAATCAGATTAAAACTGTCACCTGATGGATAATATAGCACCAGGTCCTGCGTGCCTTTGAGATATCTCAGTATTCTTTTGGCATCCTTTAAGTGAGATTCCTTGGGATTTGGTTGAAACCTCGCACACAGCCCCACACTGAAGACAATATCATGTCGACTAGAAGTGAGATAGAGGAGAGACCCAATGATGCCTCTATACATTGTTTGATTCACAGGAGATCCAGTTTCATCCATGTCCAGTCGAGTGTCAGTTGCAATGGGGCTGTCTATCACTTTTGATGCTTCCATGTCAAACCTCTTTAAGAGGTCCCTAATGTATTTTTGTTGACAAATGGAAGTACCCTTTGGGGACTGCTTTACTTGAAGACCAAGGAAGAAGTTTAATTCCCTCATCATGCTCATTTCGAATTCGCTTCCCATAAGTTTTGCGAATTCTTCACACAGAGAGTTAGTTGTTGCTCCAAAAATGATATCATCAACATAAACTTGAACAAAGAGCAGGTTCCTTCCTCGTTTCATTAAGAAAAGAGTGTTGTCAATCCTCCCTCTCTTAAACCCATTTTCTAAGAGAAATTTTGACAATCTTTCATACTATGCTCGAGGAGCTTGCTTTAACCCATACAGAGCTTTGTCCAATTTGAACACATATTCAGGGTGCTCATGACATTCAAACCCAGGGGGTTGCTTCACATAGACTTCTTCCTTAAGCAGTCCATTAAAAAATGCACTTTTAACATCAAACTTACCAAGCTGATCCTTTCCATTGTTGAGAACATAGCATTTGCATCCAAATATTCTTAGGTAAGTTAGCTTGGGTTTTCTTCCATTCAGCAATTCATACGGGGTCTTGTTCAGAATTGATTTGATCATGCACATGTTCACTAAGCAGCAGGCAGTGTTGACATCTTCAGCCCAGAAGTTCTTTGCAAGTCCACTGTCAATCAGCATTGTTCTTGCCATTTCTTCCAGAGTTCTGTTCTTTCTTTCTACTACTCCTTTTTGCTGTGGAGTTCTGGGAGCTGAGAAGTTGTGAGTGATGACATTTTCATCGCAGAATTCATCAAATTTGACATTGTCAAATTCTGTCCCATGATCTGATCTAATGCATACAACTCTAGACTCCATCTTCACCTGGATTTTCTTCACAAAGGCCACAAATACTTCAATAGTTTCATCTTTTGTTCTGAGAAACAGAGTACATGTGAATCTGGAATAGTCATCCATGATTACGAAAATGTATCTCTTTCCTCCTCTGCTTTGCACCCTCATAGGTCCACACAGATCCATATGTAGGAGCTCAAGCGTCTTTGAGGTGCTCACATCTTTTTTGACGTAAATGAGGATTTTACATGTTTTCCTCTAGCACAGGCATCACAGACTTTTTGAGTTTTGAATTGTGACATTGGCAAACCATGCACCAGGTCCTTCTGAATTAGTTTGTTCAAAAGGGAAAAGCTTGCATGGCCCAGTCTTCTGTGCCATAGTTCAGCATCATCGTCAACCGCCTTAGACAACTCAGATTACCACTCTGTAAGGATTTGAAATCAACAACATAGATGTTCTTGTATCTTTTGGCCACCAGAACTATTTCACCGGTCACAAGGTCAGTGTCTGTACATATTTTGGACAAGAATTCAGCTTTGTTTCCTTTATCGCAAATTTGAGAGACACTCAGGAGACTGTACTTAAGTCCATTGACATAGTACACATTTTCAATAGAGTGAGTGAGTGACTTCCCAACTTTTCTAACTCCAAGAATGTACCCCTTTTTGTCGTTGCCAAAGGATACACTCCCTCCTTACAGGGCTTTTAGTGAAAGAAAGTTTATGGTGTTCCCAGTCATATGTTTCGAACACCCACTATCTATAAACCATTGTTGACCACTTCCCTTTACTGTTCCCTGCACAAAAGATTAGGAGTTAGTTTTAGGAACCCAAACAAGTTTGGGTCCCTTGTAGTAACCAAGAGGATGAATAAGATTTCTCTTAGTCCATACAGGTAATGTTTGTTTCTTGTGAGTGAAGCCTGGTCCCTCTTTTGTGGTCACAGTTTCAGCAACCACTTTATCTTTTGCTACTGATTGATTCTTGTCCTGGACACCATCCTTGAAGTGCCCAGTATTCCCACATTAGGTACGAGGCCAATTATCAGATGTAGTGGCGTTCTTACTTTGAGGGTTGTGAGGAGTTTTATCCCTTGGGAACCCTGCTCCCTGCCCTTTTTCACTATCATTAGTGAGCAAGGCAGTGGTAGCTTCTAAGGACCAGGTCCACTTTAGAGATCTTTCAAGATCATTCATTACTTTTTCTAGATTGGCTTGGAGGAGCTCGTTTTTCTCAATTTCAGCACACATCCTATATCTCAAGGCCTTCACCTCATCTTCAAGCCTAAAATATTCCTCACTATCTATCCCCTTTTCTCTTTTAGAGCTTTCAGATTTTGAATTAGTCAAAGGCTTTACTATTAGTTCCCTTTGGTTTGCAGTTTCTGCCAAGAGATCACTCTTTTCTTTTCTAAGAATTTCAATGATTTTCTTTTGATTAGTAATTGCAGCCACTAAGTCTTCTCTAGTATGTTCAGATTCTTCTAGCTCTAAGAATAAGGAATCCCTATCCTCTGCAAAACTACAAAAGGCAGTAATTAAAACATCAGCTAAACACATGAGTTTTTTGGAGAATAGAATTTCAGATTTTTCTGAACATCCCTGAAGTTTACCTCTTCGTTGCCATTGTCTTCATCATTATCTAATTAAACCATCAAAGCAAGTGTTGAGTCATATCCAATCTCCTCGCCTTCAACTACCCTCGTGGAACTATCATCAGTATTAGATTTATCTTATTTTACTTGTGTAGTTCCCTCATAAGCTATTTGCAAAGCCTCCCATATTTCCTTGGCAGTGTCGCATGTAGAGATTCTGTCATACTCTTTAGGTCCCAAACCATATAACAGAATGTTCTAGGCATGAAAGTTCTTCTCCACCGCTTTCTTATCTGCTTCAGTGTATTCTTTGCTATTTTTTTTATTGAAAATGAAAATTCATTTAGTACCTTGATTGGAACAAACGGACCATCGCATATGACATCCCAAAGATCACAATCATCAGCCATGATGAAATCATACATTCTAGCTTTCCACCACCAATAGCATTTTCCATCAAACTTAGGTGGGTGGTGTATGGATTGACCTTCATCAAAATTTTGTGGAGCCGCCATGAGGATCTTTCCTAGGTGTTAGCCTGATAGGAGGAACCTGCTCTGATACCAATTGTTAGATTGTATGGATCCACCAAATCGTAGAGTACCTAGTCCTATACAAGATTCTGCTGAGAGCACTTAGTAAAGCAGTAAGTAAATGAGGCAGAGGATTTTTACGTGGAAAAATCCTACACAAGGGGATCAAAAAACCACGACCTACCTTGTAGGGTTTTAACTTCACTAACTTGTAATCTTACCTATTACAAGCCACTTTACAATACTTCCTATTGCAAAGAATTTAGTCAACTAACTTGTGGTATCTTTACCATAAGCCATTTTGTGACTATCCTAGTTACAAAGACTTTTTCTAACTTGTGATGCTATCACCACAAGCTACTTTGTAATTCTACGATTACAAAGACTTTTCCTTATGACTAAATCTAGTCACAACATAAACTCAACGAGTTTACGGATTTACAAGAGGATTCCTAATCAGTATGCTTCTAGATAAGCGATTTAGAAGATATGGTAAGTACCATAACAAAGTTACAACTCAACTAGGACAGCAAGCATCAATCTTTTAGGAACTGGTCCGTAGTGGCGTTCAACCTATTCTTCAAGCTTGAGAGGATGATTTTTCTGTTTTTGCAAGAGGCTTGAATGAGAAACAAAAATCTTCCAGTGATTTTTTGTATAAAGCATATTTGGTACATATTGATCACATTACTTGAAATAATGTGAGTACTTTGTTTGGTTAGAGAGTGAGTGTCCTGATAGTGTGGTGCAGTGCGGCAGAAATAGTGCCGTCATTCACTTCATTTCCAGTTGTGTCCAAATGTCTTTGTACTGCTATGAGGAAACCACAAAAGCATCAAGTCCTTGTTTGGTTCCTAATTCCTGAAGCTGTAGCAATTCATCTTTTGCTGAAATCTGTTAACGCTTGAAGTAATCCATGTAGGTCAGGTTCCCTATCTGGTTCTTAGCCATAAGTTTGTTAGATCATCAAAACATCAGGCAATAGCATTTAAGATCTATCACTATGAATTTTTGTAAAATTGGAATTTAGATATTGAATTGAGGTTGGCTTTCGAATTGAATTGCATAACCGGGCTCGGGGGGTGAATGGGTGATCGAGTTTTGTTCCGAACCTCGAGTTTTGAACAAGCAGGTCCGGGCTTGAATTTTGTTGACTTTTTCAATACTGATCTAAATTGTACCTCTTTCATTCATGAATAGTTTCTAAGGCTTTTTTTGAATTGTTTGGTTGATAATTTGCTAGATTTCATTGGTTCAGAGGCTTTCAAAAGGCAAGGCCGTAGTTAAACGTTGAATTGGTTGCGGAGAGAGGTAAGTGTCATGGTTAACCTTAACTTGAGGGATTAGGACTTGTTTGCCTATTTGCTACGTGTTTAATGTGTGATCACAATGTATATGTGAGGTGACGAATACTTATGCGTTGTTGTTGGGGTTAAAGCATGTAGGTAAAACTTGTTTCATTGTGATTTATTGCCTCTAAATTATGACATCCATACTTAGATTAGATTATTACTTATTTGATCGTTCTTTCTGTATTTATAGATTAATTAGTAATGATTGAGTATGTTGGAGCTTGAGGTTTGGTATCTTAGAATCATAATTGACCTAAAGCACATCCCTTGCATTACTTATCTCCCAAATTTGTATATTCATTACGACATGGTAAGAGAGAGTGTTAAAGCATGAAGGATGATGTTGTGCCATTTTATTTCTTTATTTACTGTTTAATACATGGTAAGGAAGAGAATTAAAGCACGAAGGTGATATCGTGCCAATCTATATCAGTTATGAACTGTTACATGGTGAGAACGAGAGTAAAAGCACAAAGGCTGATGCCGTGCTATTTTATTACTCTTATAACATCATGGTAAGGATGAAAGTAAAAGCACGAAGGGTGATGTCGTGCCATTTTCATATCGTATGCTATTTGTTCTCCTTGGTTGATGATTTTGTCTTTCCTGTTGTAGTTATCATTTTTTCCCTATTGCATGCTCCTCCCAACTATACATATTAAATCTCTATCTTGTTGTTGTTTGGTACATATATCTGTGGTTGTATAGGTTTAATTATGTGAGTGTTCTGTCATAGTTTCGTAACTACCTCGTCGAGGTTAGGCTCGACACTTGCGGAATACATTGGGTCGGTTGTACTCATACTACACTTTTCACTTCT